GGGTGCAATTTAAATCAATGTATATACGAGATAAAATAAATTTATTAGATTTTGCTGATTAAAATGATTAAACAAAGCAAACTATTTTTGTTTTGCATAAAAAGATTTCTACTCTTTTCTGTTATCAAAGTCATTAAAGAAAATATAGGCATGATATAGATATAAATTTTCTTTGTCTTCTAGAAAGCTGTGTGAACGACAGAGAATAGTTTAGGACTACTTAATTAGAATTAAATGTGACATTATTGAATTGATTATAAGGAAAGATGGTAAAGTTTGCTTGCTGCTCAACGAATACGTAAATGTCACTAATATTAGATCAGTGTCACAAGGAAAAATTCGTTACGCAAGATACGTTATTATATTGTTTATTTTGTTACCATAGCGAAATAAATCAGACGAACGTGTCGCAAAAGTGTTCCGATAGTGTAAAAGTTTATCGGGACCGATATAGGTTCGAAAGTGTATCAATTTCTTTCGTTATTCCCGATCGAGTTTGCCGGGGAAAATGTAAACGCGCAGTGACGCGCTATTGCAATAAATTGTCGCTGTTTTTGCGAGCTACGCATTAATTGGGTAATGATGTGCGACAATCGAGATAATAAAGTTTGTTGTCACTCTCTGCAATGCGTATTGTTTATACATATGGGATTCGATAATATGAGGAAAACTTATGTTAATGGAGCGCTAGCACGTTACACTCGCGTGAATTTAATGAACTTTTCGCAGCATACAATCGCGCCATTTGCCCTCAAAATATTTGATCGAGAACTTTTCTTTCGGTGCATCGAACAAAATTAGATTACCCTTCGATAACAATAAAAAAAGCTCAGTTTACTCACGCCTAATTTTTTTTAAATATTTGCTCGCATTAAACTTTATATCATATAAAAATAAACCAAATTTTTCTGACAATGTCATTGTAAAATACAATTTTTTCTTTGTCTTTCCGAATTATACATGTAAAATTTTGAAATTGTAAATATTCCCAAAGGTTCAAAGTTCAAAATAAATAAATATTCATTGTATTGTATGAATATAATTTGGCATTGAATTGTCTTTCAAGTAATTTCCGTGTAATATATTTAAGATTTGTGTTTTTACGATATTGTACAATTAAATGACTGTAATCAATTGTGCAGTATGAAATCTGCTGACTTATTGTTTAGTTTACGATTAAATTTAATACAATATGAAAGTCATATACGTAGCAAAAATGATTATTTTCAATTTTCAAGTACTATTACCACCGTTGACAAGTGCGTTATCATTACTATCAGAACTAATAGTGCACACTACAGTTTACTGTCACAAATTAATGATTAATTTATTTAAATCATAATCGTGTATTTTTGTGTTGTCATTAATTTATGCAGTTGGTGACATTGATACTAACCAATTTTGTTTTGGTTCAAGCGTTTATCGAAATTATTAAGAGATATATTTAAATAACACAGATATTACGGTAACAATATTTTTTTAAAAATACGATTATTGTGTACACAATTATAACCACATAAATCATTTTGTCGCGTTTTAAAAAATAACAAATGCATAATAAATTATTGGTAATAAACCACTGATATCACGTGTTTTTTTAACGCACTGTCATTATTTATCCAGTTGGTGACATTGATACTAATCATTTTGTTTTGGTTCAACCATTTTTGGAAATTGTTAAGAGATATATTTGAATAACACACATATTACGGTGGTAGATTTAAAAAAAAAAATGCGATTATTCTGTACGCAATTATAACTACATAAATCATTTCGTCGCGTTTTAAAAAATAACAAATACATAATAAATTATTGGTAATAAATCATTGGTATTTCATTTATTTCATTCTAATTCTGAGTGCTTTTAATAAGTGTCGTAACCGTGACAGTAACGATCAATTTCTCTATTTATAGCTACTATATAAAATAACGTGTATCATTAAACAGTAATTTGGTTATGCTTAAACATTTTAAATAGCTCCAATACGTATCATTACAGCATTATTATATAATTCTTATGTAATTCGATGACTCACTGTTATCACTGATTTTCAAACGATGTTGCTCTGGTATGTTTAACCGATAATCATCGATATTGACATTTCCCATCGTACAAACTAGATAGATTACGATAGATTCCTATCGAAAAATATTTTTGAGGCTGCGCTTAAAATTCGTTACAGATATTGTCACATTGTATCAATTTTTCGAAAAAATTTGAATTATGCTATTACTTTTGAATCACCCTTTACATCGTTCTATTAAAGATCTATTCGAAAAAGTGTTTTAACGAATTTCATCTTCAGAAGCTACTTAATCAAGTGGAACTAAATGTAATGAATATTGCATGAACAAAATATTGAAAACTTACACCGAGTCTTCTATGTAATTGAAACGTTAAATCGTGTCGTCAGTTTCTAATCATGGCTGTGTACGTAAAATGGTACTAGAAGAGTATTTTGACAGTTGAATGTGGTTAAGTTTAATGAATATTCAGTAAAAACAAGACAGTAATAAAAACCAGACGGCTGATTCATTTCTCTACTCTCGTATTATTTCTACTTTGATCTCGGATAGGATTTTTATATCACCTATATCGAAATTCTTTGCATTAATTATTCAAAGGCTTAACAATCCTCAGCACGTCACTTCATCAAAGATCACATTTGTCACGTACGTATGCCAATAGTCGCGCGCACGCACCATTGAATCGGGAGAAGTTAAAGTTACGGACTAACGAAAAAGACCGCGAATTCCAAGGCAACCTATTTGGCCAGCAACTGCTGAAGTCAGCTGTCATACTACTATCAATTTACAGTTAACGAACTACATAAATCGAACAACATATCGTAATGCACTGCATCAACACTATCGATCTACCTTGACGCATTGAATCCATAAATTATAAATTCGTTTACTCGCGCATTACGTAACCTAATTTTCCAATGCCGTTGGATCACTAATTAAACAATCGACCCATAGATAAAGCACACACAACGGGAATCTTTGTCTTCGTTTTTCACGTGTTTCAAATTCTTCCGTAGCAAGCCTGATCGTGAACGGATTACGAATCTGATCTGAAAGGCGTACGACACGCTTTAGGTTTATTCACTCGAGCGTATAATAAGAGAGCCAGCCCCGATGCTGTATGTAACGAGATGGTCGAAAAAGTCTGCAGTTTACAAAGGTTGCGACACGAGGTAATTCGCTTGATGTCCCAGTGAAACATTCCGTTCCATTTCTACATTATGTGTCCCACACGCGCCGGATTTCTATGTGTACATGGATCTACTAAGTTGCCGGTGACAGGAGAAGCTTGTCATCAGAGGATGGACAGCTCCGGCAAAAATTCAGATTCTGCCTGTGCGTGTCACGAAAATGAGTTTTCGAAACCGCACACTGCTGTTGTTCCACTTTCATTGATACAATTTATTCGTGTATACCGCTGTACGATCGCACGTAACAGTTTGACATTCATTACGTAAACAGGTGTAAGGACAAGTAATACTTTGATTAACGCGTTAATAATCATCGCGATGATCCCACGGTACGTTTCGATGCAATTGAAGGGTCGGTTTCATTCACCTTTCGACCGTGTTTCGTCTTTCAATACGGTAAAGCTATCCTGGAGAAGTGGCGTACGTGACGAAGGAAGCCGCGTGAATGGAGTCGGTTCTATACTACACGACCCGCAACGTTGTTCTGTGTCCGGTACAACCTCGTGTTCGTACCGTGTTACTGTTGTTATTACGTTAACACAGAATTTTTTCTCACATACGATCGCTCGCTGGATCATCGATTTACTTACCCCACGATTTGGCGTTCGTATTGACTGCGTGGATCCCGAATACAATCGTTAACGTTACAATTAGGTATTCACGGGATGTCATGGTGCGCATTCATGTATTAGATGATAGATATTACTAAAAAGTTTTTCCAGGCACAATTGCTGCCGAAAAACTATGCTGATTCTCTCAAACTCGAACTTTTTCTCAAAGCTCTCACAGCAATGCGGAACGAACACCACTGTACATCCTCCCGCTCAAGCGGCTGTGCGCGAACTGAAGACTCGTGACGACTTCCATATCCATGCCACTCTGTTAAACCTGAGATTCGGCCAATGGCGTTCCACACTTTCGCGTTCGGGTTTTAACACATTAATTTGCACAGAACAAAAATGAACTTAATTAGACGAAGTCTGCGTAGATTTCTTTCAACATTGGTTCACGTATTAACGACGATACTGATACATTGAAATTGTTCATCGTTCGGAATATATTAATGCTTTACGTACTTCGTGACACGGCATTATTTTCTGAAGGTAATCCAAACAGTTCGTAATTTCGTGACGTCGAGTGCTGTATATTATTGCAACATGTGGTATTAAACTTTTGATACTTTAGCTTAGAGTTTAGAGAAAGAAGATGCAGGTACAAATTTCCTTGTAATGCTAAGCTTGCAAACCGAGTTACGAATAGTTTTCACAGCGTGTCGTATATGTAGATTGAGTTCAGAATGGCAAGCGTAGATTGCGATGCGTCCAACTTTAAAACATGCAAAGCATTGGATGAATGCTTGATCTACTATCTCTTTTTGTGACGAAGAAAACGTCTGCGCCCGTACTAAATTCGATTGTTACTCCATTTATTTTGTTGCATTTTCTGACAGCTCATCAATTACAAAGTAATAATAAAACTTTGTATGGTATCAATACATTCAAGATAAAAATATGGCTCATCTGTATCATGGAAGTCATTTCAAACTGAATTAATAATATTCAACATGGGATAACCACTATACTAAAATTAATCAATTTTGACAAGAGTAATGATTATTTATATCGTAACAACATCTAACGATTTCTGCAATTTAAATTCAGGCAATGTTTGCATATCGCGCGTAACACGTATAACGGCGCCATCTATCGATTTAGCGGCGTAACTGAAACTACAAATTATATACTCGTAAGAGACTTCCATCTCGTCATTCCTTATCTATGTTTTACCCCTATGTTTGTAGAACATCCATTTTACAGAATGACAGCCGAAATGAAATTGCAAATAAGTACGTTTTAATATTAATATAATGTGAGTTTTACGAAATAACATCAAACAAATATCGGTATATGTTTCAACACTTTGTCACACTATTGTTTTCCAAGATTTCCCATCGAACGGGATGTCATGTATCCAACACACCCCACTGTATTTTTCACAACCAAAGACATCGTAGAAATATTGAAGAAGCATAAGATATATTTATATAACAGAACACAATAACAACTGAATTATATTTAAATCCCCTCATAGTTATTATTTCGATAAAGACTCGTAGAAGCAGAGTCAACTTTGAGCAAAACTAACAACGTCAAGAAACAGTCCGCAATCGCGCCACCATGATTTGATCTTGCGACGAAAAGTAAAAGCGGTTGACCGATTGTCATTCGGTTGATAATTCGTATTCAGAAAAATACTCGAACAAGAGATCTGTGGTCTTGTCTTGAACAGTATCATCTCTGAAGAAAACGCACGAAATCGACACGACTGTCGAGGCCTTTGAACTAGGCATGAGGACGGCTTGAGGAAAAGCGCGCGCGAACCGGGAAATGCTCCCTGTGGCCCCGAAGCGACAACGCCGCGTACTAGGTGGTGTATGTGTATATTATTGATCAATAAGAGAGGCTAACATGGATGATCCGTGCCGGCAGAGGCGGCCGTTACTTCCTTCGTATTTTCACGCCACGCGTCTCTATCGCGAGGACCGAATCCCTGGAACCGTGTGTCCCCGCGACTTCGGTGTTCTCTTCGTGGTCCGCGACAAGAACGTGCGAGCGTATTTGCGGAGCGAAAGGTATCGACCGCGTGTGAAACGCAGCAAGTTCGGTACGTTCGTGGAAATACGCGAAACGAGGGAGACAGAGGGAGTAGCGAAAGAGTAACGGCTGGACAGGACAAGAGCACGAGATAGACCGCGGGTGAAAAAGGGTGAGAGTGGGAGAGACAAGGAGAGAGAGAGAGAGAGAGAGAGAGAGAGAAAGAGGGAGTAGAAAGGGAAAGATAGTAGCGCAAGGGGCGACGAAGATAGAGGCAAGGGAGAAAGACAAGTGTGAGCGACATGTGCCTGTGTTGAGAGAATTCTATCCACGATAGTGCGGCAGCCGAGGGTGCGCCGAGAGAGAAGATCGGTAATATTTTCTCTGCTGTGTTCCGATACTCTCTCGTCGCCTACACGGAACTATCGATGCAGACCTTACGGAAGAAAAACAGTCCGTACAAGTGTGAGTAAAAACCCACCCCCTACGAATTGCACAATATTCATGGAAACGTCGGGGAACGTGCATTACGTCGCCGTTGTCTTGTGGTTTAGTGAGATCGTTGTGATTCGAATCAACGTATTCGTGTCGCGACTGGTGGCTTTGCCCTTGTTCCGTGCGTTTTTATCAATGTTTCTCAAGCATGACGTCCGTGATATCACCCTGCAGATCGGTCAAAGGGAGCTTTGGAATATGGCTTCCCTTCTTTAAGAGGGAGAAAGACGACAGTCGCTCGATTCGAATCAGGCGGATTAAGATGACACGTAATGGTAGTATAACGTACTGTATAGTTGCATGAATTCTATTGTCCGGTTCCGATCCACGGAAACTGTCGATCTTTTTTTTCCTCCCAACGGAAACGACAGTGTCGAGGCGAGATTTCCGTGCGAGCTTCGGTTGCAATACGACATTATCGACTGTGCTGATGTGGCGTTATTGTCTGTGCTCATTCGCGGCTTCACCGCCAGATGGATACACTAACCATTTCGTCGGATATTAATTTCAGATTATACTACTTTATTTACAAATGCATATAACCACCGTACCGGACATGATTTAATGCGCTTGTTTCTAGGATTTAAATTATAGGTGTGCAAGTGCCCGATGATTCATGATGCTGATAAAAACCGGATAAAAACTCGTTTTCATTTATCATTCATTTTGATTGCGCAATATTTCAAAATTGTTGATTGTGCAGTTGTCATTTAAGAGGTTATGTCATAGCTACCTGCTTGTTGTCTCACATTCTTCAACGAATAATTTCAACCTTCACTTTTATGGAAACGATATGGCCCTTTCTTATCAACAGTTTGAGGTTCTTGTTTGCGATACAAATCTGCTCAGATATACTGGATATACTTATCACCATTGCACCACACATTTCATAAAATAATATGAAAAGACTTCACGTTGGATACAATTAAATATTTCGTTGTTTTCATTACGATCAGTATATCTATAGTAAATTCTTTCATATAATTGTATATATCGCCAAATTATCGAATGTCGAACAATGCTCCTAAATTAGAATTTGTCTATTATAAAAACGAGGACTAAGTAAACACTTATTTTGCATATTGAAAATGATTATTATTCGGCTAACAAGAATGATTATTATTTGCAAATAGCAAACATGTCAATTTTAATCTTTTCGATCGAAAGCACTACTGTGAAGGTCTAGTGTGACTCAGCATAGTTTTTGATTCGGGAAGGAGAAATTTTCCTCCGTATTTAAAAATTATTCATAGAAAGGACAGAATTGAGCTGTACAATATTACGAAACAGACACGTAGAAAATCGTTATTTTCGATATAAAATTTCGCTAAACGTATAAGCAACAGAAATTATGCATCGATACTTCTCGAACTGCAGCGATGTTCTTGATTTCAAAGTCGAACGTATTGTCTCCTTGAGTTGGAAAGATTCATGGGATCAAAAAAGGAAAAAGAAAAATGATAGTATGGGTATTCATGCGTTCACGTTTCCGTGCGATCACGTCAAGGGTAGTTGTAATTAGTGGTTCTTCTAATCCAGCCGGCAGGTTCCTCGAGTTTTATCGACCCATTGTTTTACGCTAGCGATGCTTGATGCGAGAGTGATTGTTATGACAGAGCGGGGGCAATAAAAGTCTCGTGTGCCACGGGACTTGGCAAAGGAAGATGTGTGCGAAGGAAAAAGCTGGTACAAAGGTGACCGGCAACGGAGGAGAAAAGGCGTAGGAGGGGGGCATGAATTGGTTATCCGGATAGAGTCTGAAGTATCGACAGTTGGCGTTCTCCACTCGAGCCGCACGAGGACGTTCAAACAAATGTGCCGGTGTGGTCGTGATTATTAAAGTCGCGAGGGGTCGTAAAAAGTCTGCGCAAAAAAGCTGCGGCAGACGAGGGAGATTTCGACAAATTGTCCGTGGAAAGACAAAGCCCGCAGTCGGTGCTGTCGGGACGATACAGCAGGCTCGAAGTACGCCCCGAAAACCTGATACCTGCATTCGAATTTGTCGATCGGGCCAACATTTCCAATCTCCTTCGAACAGAAATGAAATTCGCCGTGCCACCGATCCCGGTGGGGTGACAGTGAAGAAAATAAATTGCTTGCGTGAAGCACATTCGACCACTCTCGTCCCGCGTTTTCACGAGATCAAATTGATCGTATGACCGATCAATATATTAGTTGAGAGAGGTTTGAAACGATCGCCGGGCAGATCGGCTCGGAACCCCTGCTGCCACGAATCCGATAATTCAATAGTTTCGGCGCCGCGAACGGTTCCATTTTTTCGTGGGCTTGAATGAGGCCACATGTGGGATTATTAAAACGAGCATCTACCGTGACAGATTTCACGTTCCTTTATTAGTTGCCGCACCAGATCTGCTCTTTGTCCCTTTGAAAAAATCATTTCTAAGAGGCTCGCTACACTTCTACAGCACTTTCAGCTTTATCGCTGAATCGGCTCGCAAACTATTGGGCTCTTTAGTGTAACCGAGATGTGTAACATTGCGACCGCCGGTGTCATCCATACGTCGGTGATGGAACTATCGGCTCGGATTTGAAAATTATTTGTATGCTAATCCATTGTGTCTTCCTAATTTGATTAGGACCCGCAAAACGTACGAATGCCGAAGCTATTGTTGACGTCATAGAGTTTAACTTCACAATTTAATTAGCACAGCGGGCAAAGTGTTTAATATAATTTGCATTCTAGGAAAGTTGTGTCTGTAGTCTAGAAAATAATATCCTCGTAACGTCGCTTCTACGTCGCGATCAATCGATGCAGTCGATAACTAGAACGTGTTTTATGCAGTGCAAACGATTCGTCCCCCTTTTGGCATTTAACTTCGAAATTTTTGCGTCCATAGTGGATTGAAGAAGGTATCCAATTACGATTGATAACTGAAAGTCCTGACGACGTAATGTCTCGCAAATCGGCATCAGAGCACAGTACATTGTAAACTGTTTCGGTAGATAAAATATTATGACGTACACGTGTATTTGATCTTGCGATGAACACGGAAGTTTCTGCGACGTGATAGCAACAACAAACGAAACGAAAAATCGGCTTTCGTTGCAGTCAAGAACGACCGAAGCCGATTTCTTGGGGAGGGTGTGTCGTTCAAGGCAAAGCTGATTGGCATATTGGAAGTATCGGAAGCACGCGGGGACCGGATGTGCCAAGCAGCTTTGGCCGATCTGAAGATGGCGATTCGTGCTGCCGGTGAACACAAACAACGAATCTCAGTTCAGGTCAGCATCGATGGACTACGGTTGCGGGACGAAAAGTCGGGGGTAAGAATACCAACGTTACTCTTATTAGTGCTTCTCTTCTGGTGATTACTTGATCATATTAATAATTGTAAATAATAATAATAATAATTGTAAATGCAGGTTTCGTAAGTGTTATCTATTCTTAATAGCTTAGGACAATTAATTAACATGCAATTTAAAAAAAAATAACACTAGTAAAAAGTATGCATGCGACAATGTTAACACTGAACCCACCGAAAACTAAAAGCAACTAATGTGTAATGCTTTAAACTGACGAAAAGATTCTGTTTATTTAAACCTGTCGCCATTATTATCACAATGCATGTTTTGGAGTCGTTATAATCTTTATAATCAACAACGTTGAAAGAGAAGATGTGGAAACGGTAATTTTGACCGGCTCGGTAGGTTTAGTGATAATTAATGGACTGTGAGCGTTCATGCACGACAAACATTGTACTAATTGCGAGATACCGAAGCTGTATAGATATTTGTTTACGTTCTTAATTAATTTAGTCCGCCGATAGTGCTAGTAACGAATTAGTCAATCGATTTAGCAAAACTGTCAAGGATGGAGTTTAAATATGCCTTTTCCAGGACTGTCTTTATCACCATCCTGTACATAAAATATCGTTCATCGCTCAGGACATGAGCGACTCGAGAGCGTTTGGATATATTTTTGGATCACCGGACACTGGACATCGTTTCTTTGGCATCAAAACGGACAAAGCAGCGAGCCAAGTAAGATTTACACGATAGTGGAGTAGATATTTCTATGCCTTCATATAGAGAAACCATAAATTTTTTACATAGATTCTAAAATCACGCTGTAACTTCAAACACGGGGAACCATTATTTATCATTGATTGCAATCATTGATTACCATATTGTTCTTGTTGGTGCGGGGTTTCCGGTTTCTATAATAAAAATACAAGAAATAAATTGTAACATACTTTTTGTAGAGTACAAAAATTGTGAGATACGTTTGTACATCCGAGTTCGCGATAAATGCAGAAGAAATGGTTAGATATACATATACTACTGTACATAAGTATTTGGACACTGGATAAGATATGATTAAAAGTTTTATAACTTTATTTTGTTGCTGTATATTAACACATATAATGAACATTTATGAATTCTATTAAAGCGGTGATGTATAGTATGTCGTAGATTGAAAAATTTCGTAATAAATCAATAAAAATTATGAAATATTGCGTTCATCTATGTATCCGCCTTTCTGAGCAATAACAAGCTCTTACTACTCGCATTAGAGTCTGGCAGTCAGTTTCTTCATGATATCTTCGTGCATTTCCTTCCACGTCTTGTCTTGAGTGCAACAAATTGTAACAAACATGAATAAAAAGCGGTCGACAAGCACTTGTAATGAACAAACTCGAGCGTCACTGTAAAATTAATTTTGTTGGCGTTTATAGGTATTATATGACCGTCTAAGATGAAATCTTGAATTCAATTTGTAATACAGGATTGTACTATAATAATATAACTCACACTTTTTACAATAATACGTAAGTGTCCAAATACTTATGCGCACCAGTGTACGCGAATCGTAAAAATGAAAAAATTTGCAGTCTTTTCGTAATTTCAATACTACCTTCGCAGCTTCGAAGCATCGGGAATAGAAGCTGGCAAGGATTAATTCGATGGGAGGATCCATTCGTGCGGCAATACGACTCGTAAACGCGGTTGAAGCGTGTCATTTATAGTGAACGATTCGCTTTAGCGATGCAGGGGGGTCTAAAATGATATTTGTCCAATCCGGAGGAGCAATATCGACCTCGGTGGCTCAGTAATTCCGGAGGGGCATGTAAATAATTGCATTATACGATTCGGCCTAGCACTCCAACGATACGCCGCGGGAGATTGTTGTTCGATTATACACGATTCCCTTCGTGCTCGTTCAAAGGGACTGCGATATCTTCAAGTTGAACTCCCTCTATCTCCCTTTTTCAGTACGTTCTTTTGAAGTGCATAGAACACAACGTTCGAACCAATTTTCAGAAATATAAGGCTTTCGTCGAGTATTTCATTATTAGTGTTTGAACCAAAAGCATACGTTTGCTTTTAACAATTTAGTTTGTTCTTAAGTGTTAACACCACAGTCTTTTTCACTCGTAACGTTTGTTATTATTAGACAACGAGATCTGTGTTTCGCTAATATATCAGTGTCCAGTATTGTCACGTATGCATCATAATGTTGTGCAGTTGGTGACCGCGATGAGGGACTTGTTCCAAGTGGTTTTCGAACTGAAAAAGAAGGAAGTCGAGCTGACGAAGCAGCACTTGGAGCAGAATGCCATAAGCGTTATTAAATGTCATACTAGCGGCATTTTCGTCGAGCCAACTCCAGATACAAAAGTGAATTTCTATAAAATTAAACTTACGCGTACAATTTGTGCGAACGAGTAATTAAAAACGTTGTTTTATCAGGGTGCAGCGGGCAGCGAAACCTCCCTTCATCGTGTCAAGAACGCGAATTCGGATTTAGACAAGCAATCCGACAGACGAAACGAATCACAAAGCGGTGTAATAGCGGATTTATTAGATTTACAGTTCGAACTGAATTCTCTTCAGCAGGGAATCCATCACATGGACAAAATTACCCCTGACAACCAACCAGCATCCGGTGATAATATCTTCGAGGCTGATCCGTTTGGTGATTCATTTGCGAATATGAAAGTGCGTGTTGTTCGAGATATTTGTATCCCTTGCTTTCTATTGATTAGCTTTTCCTAAGTAACGTTGTATGATTCAAACGAGCGTTTACAGTTGGAAGATACCGTGCGACCGATTTTGCCACCACCGCCATCGGGTTCGAAAAGAGGACATTTAGATCGACAGCAAACAGTTCCTGGTCCTCAATCATCAGTTACTTCCAGTCCAGCAGCGACATCATCGTCTAAGACGCCGCCATTTCAAAGTTCTATCGAATGGTTTGACAAGGAAACCGAGAATTTGTTTAGCGACAACGAGCTCACAAGTTCACCGAAAAACACACCGATCAAGAAAGATCTGGAGGAGGTAAATACTCAAAGCTGTTTTACAATTGAGTTCTGTAAACGTACTTACTTAATTAGTTTAGGATTTGGTTCCCTATGCTTTCATTGCTAAGTTAGATTCAAACAAGTACTTTAGAGGATCCCGTCACCTTTAAAATGGTTTTATTCTCCAAACGCAAATTTACATTGTATTTTCCTTATCTTTAAACACCTTTAAACACCTTTAAACACCTTTAATTTTAGATCACGACGTTATATCATCAGTTTATGAGACTGAACTACATTTATGAATGAAGATAACTAAATAACCATCCATCTGCTTATCCTGCAATTCGAATACTTAATTTGTTACAGTCCCAGACTAAAAGTCCCCAAATAGACGTCTTCACAGAGTTAGATCCCCTAGGAACCGGTCTGATAAAACCATATGTGGATAAGAAGGACTTCTTCCAGCACTTGAAGAATCCTCCGAAGAAAGTGCTGAAGGACCTAGTACCCACGAGCTCGACAGACACATTCCAGGCCAACTTTAGCACCATCTCGGACTCACAGGAGACCGTGCAACAGGTACGAAACGATTTGACGTCGAAGGACAATCACTTTGACGACAGTAACTTCGCGAACTTCGATCGCTTCGACGACGGCGAGGCGGTCCAACCAGTATGTACGCGTTCCGATTCAGCGCAGAGGTCGGAAACAGTTGCGAAACCGGCGCATCATCAGCCGCTCGCAGTTGCTTTACCGCCCGAGGATTCATCCGCTACAAAGTCGCCAGCGGTTTCAGCTGTGCCCACCACTGGGACCGCTTCGTTGCTTAGTAGGATGGATAAGGACTCCACGGAGTCTATGCACGGTTTAGTCCAACTTTCTAGTCCTATAAAATCGGCACGCAGAAAAGAGTTCGACATTGATTTACCAAATAATAAATCTCAGTCTATAGATAAGCCGTTCCCGGTAGATTTTTCTGCGACCAGCGAATCACCGGCGTCCCCTTTAAAATCATGTTCCTCCGACGCGAACTCACGACTGTCTAGCTCTTCCGCGGAGCTGGAACTTGTACCTGAACCTCCGCCTCGAGGGGCCACCAACATCTTGATCAATCCGCCGCCATTGCCCCCGAAAAAGCAGGGGGGTAGGGTCGCCATGAAGCCTCCGCCGAGGCCACCACACACGGATGGCTACTTCCATTACGATTTCCCAGAACGCGAGCAATCTGCACCGATAGCGACCAGCGAAAGGAGTCAAAGCCCAGCGAAGGACGTAAAGGGGCATTTCGACGATAATTTCAGTCCTCGTGTTCCGTTGTCCGGCAAGTCGGATTTAATTAGTTCGATGACCACGTCGACCTTCGAGGACTCGTTCAGCTCTATGGTGCCTACTACGAATCTGTCTACGTTTTTTACTTCTACGAACACATCTTCCTCCACGAAAAAGGCGAAACCGTCGTTGGACATAACTCTGAGCCAGTTGACATCGTCTAATTTGAACGAGTTGGCCAACAGTCTCGGTATGACTGTTCAAGAGCTGACTAGTTTGACGCTCCAGCAGCTGACCGAGTGTCTAGCTATCCTATCGGCTAAGGAAGCAGCCGCGAACGGAAGCAAAGATGCTACTCCTGTCGTACAAGAACCCGTAACGACCACGAAGACGCAATCCGATCAGCCAGGATCTTACACAGAAAGTCAGAGTTTTGTTCAGGCTAAGGAGCCAGAAACCAAATACGACACCACTTATGACAAATACGCGGTGTTCAGAGAGTTGCTAGAGCTGGAACAGATGGAGAAGAACGAAGAGAACGTAATGAAGGACAATGTCGAAGATGAAATATCCGATGCAATGAAGGAAACATTCGACAGCACCGAGTCGCAACAGGACGATGATAGCAAAACAGAGTCATTGGCTTCCCTGGTGAACCTAACGGTTAAGCTTCCGCCGAGCAACGAAGATTTAGCAAAGGACGACTCGGCTAACGCGAAAGGCGAGGAGAACGAATCTTCTTCTAGCCTAACGAGTGAGAAGGCCCACTCCGTGGAAGCCGAAGGCAAAATTAGAACTTCGATCTCCGAGACGGAGACAGTAGCAGATTTCTTGACGAAGCAGGCAACCGCCGAGGCAGAGGAAGAGGCTGAAAGAAGAAACTTCATAGCGGAAGTGGAGGCGCCCGAGAAGACCAGTGAAGCGAACGAAGATTTCGATAAACCCGTAGAAAGCAATACGGAGGAAAACGGATCGCTGGCAGAGAAAGCTGAAGTGAAATCCTCGGTGTCGACGTCCAGCGACAGGTACGCTGCGTTGCGCGAGATCATAGGCGAGCCAGAGCCGATGCCTAAGCAGGCCGAAGAGGAGGCGTCTAACTCTAGTCGGGTGTCTCCTGTTATTCCGACCTCGATCCAGTCGAAAGGCGTAGCCGAAATGGAACTGTTGAATCTGTTCTCCGATACGCCGCCCTCGTCGTCTAGCCCGAAGAACCAGCCGAAGAAGGACGAAGACTCGAAGCCAATGACGATGGACATCTTCGAGGAGATCAAGATGTTGAGTACCAGCACGACTGAAGCGAAAGAAATCAAGTCGTTGAATGCTCAAGACATTTTTTGTCCTTTCACCGAATTGAAGCAGGAGAGGGACGACAGCAAGGACGACGGGAACTGGGCGAAATTCGATAACGTTTTATTTGCTGCTAACAAGCCACCGAGCGAGGGACCTCAGCCGCTGACGAGCACGTCGCCTTGGTCTCCCGATGGTAAGGAGTTCCACAAGGAGTCTGCCTTCAAGGGAGCTTTCCGGCAGTCTGGCGACAGCGACAACGAGTGGAAGGACGAAGAAGAAAGCGAGGAGAGCAACGGAAGGACTCGGGGCGAGGGTAGATTCTGGTGCGGTCATCCGCCACGGTTCAATCAGCCAGCCTTCGGCGACAGGCCTTTCTACGAGGAGACCGGTCCAGCGTCTGCCAACAAGAGGGACAGAAGTTTCCTTAGAAGCGACAGGATGGTGAAGAAGTCACGCGACGTGGCATGGTTGAAAAACCCCAGTCACAGGCCGCGCGACTCGTCCTGGCACGACGAGTGGGAAGAAGAGTTGAGGCGCTTCCTGCAACGGAAGATGCCATACAAGGACGAGGAAGATCAGTACGAAGCCCACTGGAAGTGTAGGACGCAGCCGCAGCGGTGGAACTGCCCGCACGAGCCGTTCTACGACGAGGAGAGGAAGAGGAAGCTGGCGTTGTGGAACGAGGAGGATAGGTTCGGGAGTCAAGAGAGCATGGGTTACCATGAGGAGGACAGATGGTACAGGAGAAAGTGCGAGAGACGAAGGTGGGAAGAGGACGCCAGATTTTGGAACAGAAGGACGCCGGGCCCGCCAGATGCCGATTACCCTACCAGAGAGAGCTATTATTACTATCGAGAAGGCAGGGAGAGACCTCACGACTATCCGGATAACTGGGACGAGGAATACGGCTCCGATCGACCCGGAGACGATTCGCCCAGATATAACCCTTCCGGTAGGAAGAGGCACTGGCCGAAGAGGCCGAACAGCGCGAACGAGGGTCGCAACGCCGATATAGTCTACGCCGAGTCGCGCGGCAAGTTCGGCACCTCCAGATCCGAGTGCAGCGACAACGATTCCGATCCTTACCTACGTCCGTCGCAACGTTCGAGAAGCCGCGAGAGCTACTGGGGCAGCGACCAAGAATACGACAGCTGGGCAGAGAGGCCGTACTGGTCGGAGGGTCCCGAGACCAAGAGCGAGAGCCTCCATCGAAAGAGAATACCGAGGCACAAACCGCGGCAGCCGCACACCAAGGCCCAGGGCCCGTTCGAGGATGATTTCGCGCAGAGCTTGGAGCACGCGGACCCATCTCCCGCCGAGGTTCTGACCGCGGCGGAACCACGAATCCGCTCGGACATGAACGAGCAGAAACCAGCGCTCCCGCCGAGCCCTTCCTCCAGTAAGAGGTACGCGAAGGATCTGCCCAGGAAGGAGGTACAAAGAGAGTACAGCAAACGATCCAGCTACTTCGAGGACGACCTCACGCCCACGGCCAGTGCGTCCAGCGACGCGTCCGACAGGCAGAGGCTACCCTCCGATCTGAAGGCGACTCCCGAGGAGCTGCCTTGCGACAACAAGGACACCCACCAGGCAACGGACGGCTTCGTGTCGGAGGACAGCGGCCGGGACTCGTTCTTCAACGGGGACCTCAGATACGACGACAACGCGTTCGCCTTCAAGTCCGAGCTGGAGGACAACGTGCCCGATCATCGGGCCACCACCCTGCCCCTGAAGAACCACAATCGGCAGGGCAAGTACAGTTCCGGGAACAACAATAATAATAGCAACAAGTCCAGGACGGACCAGTACATCAGGAAGTCCGAGTCGGTGAACATATTCGTCAGGGAGAACGATCCCTTCGACGACGACGATTTCTTTAATTGATGAGTCGCGTTTAGAGAGGTCGAGTCGTTTCTCTCTTTCGGTGCTGGACAGAGCGACTTCAGTCGGCCAGGGCGTGTAGAGATCCGTGTATTTTCGTCGCTTGCGTTTCCGTTCTAACCGGGTGACGCTGATGTCGAGCCTCTTATGATAACGAACTTGTCACTTTCTGTTCGGCGACGCTCAGTTCCGATGCTTAACTCGCAATAAAGCTTATTCGACGAGTCTCCGAGGTTTATTGTTTGCCGGTGGGCGCAGGAGAACACGTAGAACGATAACAACCCCACCATGCGATTTGATGTTGATTTAACGAAGATTAGGGTGTCTCGGAAAATATTATGTGGGCATCGCGGTCACACTTTGTTCCGTGTTGAATTTTCGAGCTGTGTGTTCGGGAAGGGGGAGAGCATGGACGACGAGTTTGTGTTATAATAATCAAGTTGAAGTCCATGATATTGTCTGGGAGATCTTAATTAATATGTAACGAAAGAGAGAGAAGAGTATAGTATATTATTGGTAGCAGGGAAAGCAACCGTGGACCTGTTATCGAATTTACGATCGTTTTATCGACTAATCCTGAGTTTGACTCAACTGGAAGTCGCATCATCGAACTTCCGTTCGCAGGAAGCGTTGTACTGCGATATGTCGGCGGAAACAATGTCCTGGCGAGACTTTCCTTATTCATTTGTGATTGTATTCAAACGTCTGCTGATAAAAGTGATCCGTGTTAAAGTCTAATGAAAGTCATTGTCCAAGGTGTTGGCCGGTTGTGGCACGATTAAAGGAAGCTAGTCATTGTTTTAATAAATTTGTACATAATGTTATCGGTGTTAACGTGAAATTAATTCGGCGATGGAAGCCTGTATATGTGTGCGCAGTTTGTACGACACTTGGCTACAATTGTATCTAGTTTGAATTGGTCGTAACGATTCCATCGGCTATAGTTACCGTGTTTCCGCTTTCTCATTTGATACGACGATGCTAGTCACACATCGAGGGCAGTTAGGGTACTCGAAATCAGGCTCGGTCGACGAGGGTTGTTGCGGACGAAATTATCGAGGGATTTTCGGGTGCGAACGACGAATTCATATGCGACACCTTTCAAGACGAGTTCGTATTGAAAAATCTTGTTATCGAACATAATCGTTGTGTGCTCCGTTTATGGTAAGTTCGAAACGAAACTTTCGCTCCCTTTGTTCTCCGATGTAATAAATGTTTTATATACAGAATTCTGTAACGTAGATCCCTCCGTTTATCGTTACACGTGAAAAGCCTCGATACTTTCAATCGCAAGATCTCGGCTCGAGAAAGCCTGAACGATCTCATTTGATAGTCATTGTCTGAAACGTTTATGAATCAAAATGTGACTTTTATACACTTTTGACTGTGACGATTTTCATTCGTGTCGATCTAAACCTTATCGAAGATAATGTAGTAGATGAATTTGTCGATTCCCATCGAACTTTTCTCGTGAAACAGAAAAGGAAGGAGGAAGAGAGTAAGAGCGAAAGAGAGAGAGAGAGAGAATGGTAGAAAGAGAGGGAGAGAGAGAGAGAGCGAGAGTATGGTAGAAAGAGAGGGAGAGAGAGAAAGAGAGAGAGAAAGAAAGAGAGAGAGAGTCAATTCAACTAGTCTATGAAGTTTGTTTGTCCATGGAAAATGGAATCAAGCTGCGATATAGTTTTTATATTATTTATTTATGTCGGCAACCGCTGTGTCGCATTTAATTTTAGCTCGTATTTGCTGTAGTCACGCGCATTGGCGTCCCGCGGCGAGTGTACTTAACGAATTATTTCCTATGGTTTGAATAACGACTATAATTGTGTTGTAAATTAGTCAGAATTGTACTGACAATAATATGCAGTCCGAATACAAATACAATTACTTACTGCGAAGAGATGGATTTCTGTTTAATCACTTGTGAGCTGGTAATGGCTACCCCTAAATTTTAACGGATTCATTCGTCCTTAGTTTCTGCTTAACAGCGGAAGAGTTTTTAATCGATATAATTAGTTACGAATTAATTGCGACCGTTGCAGAAATATTTGGAAGGTTCTCCGGCAATGTATTCGCGCCTACTCAATTGCAAAACAATAAGCACCGAGACGCACTCTGCAACCGGCAGAAAACATGAAGGTTTCACTTGCGCATAAGTTCACAAAAGTAGCTACGATTCTTTAGGTTATGTAGATACACAGTCGGACGTATTAACCGCTTTAGTTTCTTACCGAGTCGAGAGACCGTTTCAAAAACGAACGATCTAAGTTTCCATCTCGAGATAAGTGATTACAGCGGGAATAAAAAGGATCCTTGAACACGACGATGAACAGCCGCATAAGGACACGAGCAAACCAGTGAACGCTTGGGATAGTGTTTAATGAAACCCGCAATGTTTACAAATGTTCCGCATCTGTATTAATTAGTGAACGTGTCCCCTACGTGGCGCATTCGTGATTTAAATGTGCTGTAATCGTGGAACTTGTAATTTTTACTATGGCCGTGACATTTATTCCATGTTGCACATTGTCGATCCCCTATCCTACCCCATCCAGGCGACGAGTCGCAATACACTAAATGGAACTGGTTCGAATAAATTTTCACTTAAAAAATGTTGGAGCAGAATAAACTTTTTTTGGAAGAAACACGACATTTCTTTGTATAGAAACCCTAGCAACGAGAGAGGATATCAATTCTATTGTTCGATCCACATTGTTAAGAGTTGACACAATTTATTGTTACTGATTTTTAAATCGAATTTCAAGATTATTTATTATAAGATTCCTGTTTCTTCGATATATTTATTAAATTATTATTGATTTAATTTATTTAATTATTATATATTTATTATTATATAAATTAATCTTCATTCATATAATTATATTATATGACACAAGAATATTTTAATTTTCTGATAGATATCGAATCAATCTAGTAAAGATATATTTGTTCAAGACGCTCGCGACAATTCTCTTTCATTATTTCTTTCTTTCATTAATGACAAAAATCGTTATATCGCTGTGGCTTTTAAACAATTTTCATAGAAACGCTTAATTACGTGTCTCCGTTTTTAACTTTTTGCACCATGATTTCTACTAATAAATTCTTACACGAGAACAAAAATTAATACTTCTTGCGTGTCTCTATTCGTGGCAATTTTCAAATATAATACTCATGTATTATACTCACAACAATATATTCGTGTCTAGTATAATATGTTTAAAATCTTCACAACAGATTTGCCACTTTGTTACAGCGCAAGGGAATCGTCACTTTGACTGCCGTGTCGACCACTTCAAAAATTTCCTAAAATCGATGTGTTTTATTCGATCAAAAATTGAAACGCTAAGTTGACACGCATTACGTGAATAGAACAAATTAATTTTCAAATCTGGCCGAATAATTCCGTCGCCCATATATTTGGGTGACGTTGCAGGAAGCGTTGAACTATCGGTGGACGAAATGCTAACCGAGACGAACGAACAAAGCGAACAAGAAATTTGTTGTTCGAATAAAAATTGACGAAAATGTTATCCGTCGATGGCCAGTCGTGTCACGCAGCTGCGCAGGTCGCTGCCAAATTCGTTCAAGATGAGATATCGTAAACAGAGTGGCGAAGCAAAAAAAAAGGGTGTAGATCGCGAAGACGAAGGACCACGACGGTCTTTGTTGCGAGTCGGCGGCAGCATAGGCACCTCACCCTATCGCATCGAAGCAGGCGGGGACCCCCCGGTTAGTGTGTTCCCCGTTCCTTGATTTGGCCGAGCACAATGCACAATAAAAGAGCATTAGATCGTCGGCTTTGTCGAGCGGTTGCGCGACTTCTCGTAACAATGGCGTGGCCCCCACTCGGCCGAAGTACTCGAAACACCTGGCAAACAAGGAAACAATGCGCACGAGCCGCACTTCGACGGGATTTCGCGCATTTGGGGTGCGCGCATGCTAACAAATTATCACCCCCACCCCCCCTCCCCTCTCTGCCGTGCGGCACCCTCCCGCGACCCTCCGCCCAGCCACCACCCCCGCCGCCACGTCACTTTTCTCCCGTTTTCTCATTCCGTCTGCCTCTCCTCTCTATGTCCGTGCTCGTAAACCGGCTAAATACTTTCCTTGCTTTCGCGATTACGCAGCAACCTCGTGTCGGCCCAGGTTTAACGACCGCCTCTCGAAATCACTTGCAACTTTGGCTTGAACGCGGCTTCCTGCGCCGACCAGATATTGGGCTGTCCCAGAAAACATCGGGCTATTTGCACGGGTGTATAGTTTATTCGGTAAACGGGACAAATGTTTATGCGAACGTCCATCAGCCGAGACGAATTTCTAGAAAATTCAGCAACGTTTTCCTTTTCCACGATAATATTTTTATTTATTGATCGTTTCCGGAACGCTTCTGTGAGCTGTGCGGGAATTAAGGTCCGTATTCGTTGGATAAAGAAATTTTTGTTAGAGAAATTTTTAATAGAGTAAAATAGTACGTTCGTTGTCGAAGTATCATAATTCGATAATTCAGGTAATTGAACAGCATGCAACAGTTTTTATTTGTTTCGAATTTTTAATAGCAGGTAATTTTGGTAAGACTAACCGGGGATGCGATTCAGTGGTAAAGAGTCTGCTACCCTGTAATCCGGGGTAAAATTCGTCCGCCTATATCAGCATCCTGTATTTAATACTTGCGCACAGGCTAGCTTGATCGAACTGAAAAGCTAACATTACCCTTCTGTGTGTCGATACAGTGGTTTATAACTTTATTAATAAAAGATAATTTAGATACCCCTTCCACGAGGAATTAAATTCCATGCAATCGCTCAGCTTGCACAATTTTTCTCTCGTTTAGCATCCACTTTTTCAAAGATTTTCTCGTTCATTGTAGTCGTGTAATTTTTCAATTTGGTAAGTTTCCGTTGAATGCTAAATCAATACAATAAGAAGGAATAATTAGATAATAGAAATCACATCGTGCCACCGACATTCCTTCCGAAAAACTTCGATTCGAACGAACAAATGCATGCTCGGTCCATGTGTTTTGATGTATTTTGTTTAGCGAATTTATCGAATTTCTTTCGCAAAAACGGTGACAGGGGGTGCGAAAATCACCCTGCATGTCGTTGTACTAGCAGTTGACCCAGCTCCGGCGCAACGCCGCGCTGAAGGTGACGCAACGAGAGCGAGAAAAAGGGGGAGAAAGAAGAAAATCAACCCGCATGTGCTCGGACGCACTTGAAAACGAAAAGTACTTTTGGACCAAGAGCGATATGGAGGCGGTGTACGTCGGAGAACGTGAAGAGTGTACCGAGGGTGCGTGAACTATGAAATGCACCGGCTATACACGGTCCCTCTTTCGGCGAATGTAGCTCTGAAAAGCCACGAGAAATGTTTATAATTGGGATCGTTGGCCCGTTCTGCTCTCCTTTCTTGATACGCAAATGTGGGGGACATATTACGCGAATACGTACATGGGCGCACGTTCGTTCGTTTCTTTCTTGCGCGTAGACATGCATCGTATGAATAAACTGGATCGATCAATTTCGCGGCAAGTGTCCGTCGCGCAGTGCGTCAAGTGAACGAAATTTTGCGAATAGACATTAACAAATTTTCACTTTCTACAACTTCCACGCATTTATTTCAAAGCAGGCGTTTCTATCGTTTTCATTTTAAAAATCATTTCATGAATGAGCCGTACATAGAATTTCGTGATACGTGATACGAATCCAAATCATTTACCGAATGATTACCGATAAAATTGTTATTGTTGGAAATATGAAGACATTTGCAATTCTAACAATGTGTCATTCCTGGCCATATAGTTCCACCACACGAGACTCGTTTTTGTCAAGGTTATTTTTACCTTTTGTCAAAGTTGTTATTATTGTTTATACGTCTATGTTCGTTTTGGCTTTGTTTATCGATTGTATGTTGTCTTAATTTTGAATTCCAATATATTTTATATTTTTAAATATATGTCTTTTGCATCTCAATTTATATTTCAGTTATATTATTATTATATTATTATATTATATTATATTACAATTACATATTACATTATAATTGATATTTTCATAAAAGATCGAACAATCTTTTCAGAAATTCTCAACCGTTGATTTTCAATTCTGAAATGATTATTAGAAAAGTGCTTATTAAGCGTCAACAGAAATATGATCGCAGTACAAAAATAGGCAAAGGTGGAGCGTCGTCAGGGAGGAGCTAATGTTGCATAAAAATATAACGTCCTTCAAATTTGCTTGCATAACTGATTAGGCCTATGATAGAGCACGCGAAATTGGCGTACTTAATAAACGCACTGTTTAACAATTTCGCGAGACCTTCTCCGACATGAATTTTCATTCGATGGCAACGATGTCGTGAACGTCATCGGTCGTCATCGTGAAACTTCCTTGCACGCGTGCACGCCAACGGAAGCCTATCAATATTTCATAAGCCTGGTAAAAAGAGACAAGTGTTTACAGCACGCTAAGCGACGAATCCTCGATCTTGTTCGCCGGTTAGCCGTAAGTGTCTTCGCCGTCAGGAGATTTGCATCGAATTGAATTTCAAATTCGCCCGGGTGTTCTCGCGAACGAAGTCTCGAGCATGTCGGGCCCTCTTGCTTTCGATCCCCGTGAAATGAAATTATTATTAATGTAGTCTACCGATCGTGCAATATTTCAATGAGCCTGCGACAGCTGCGATTCATGCCATTCGACGATCTATTTACTGTAGCAAAAGGAACGTTCACATGCATCAAATATGTGTATCTTTAGTTTGTTGGTTACCAAATATCGTCGTTAAACTGCGAATTAGGCGCGCTTGTAAAGTGAATCATAAATCTTTGTGCAAACTAAAAACTGTCTTTATAAGTTCTAGCAAACTCGAATAGAAATTTCTCTCGTTCTTTCTGTGATTATTCCTGGTAGTTGAAAATATTACATAGATGTCCTGAATTCTCAAATTATAGTTGCACACGTAACGTACAATTATGAGATATTTCTTTGAAGGACGTTGTTCCGTTGGCGATTTAGAGGTTATTGTTACGACTTAACGGTAATTAAGTGTTGCAGGAATATGAGACAGTTCGTTCGGTTTGCTTTTTAGAAAAGAGCATCGCGAAAAATTCGATCTGTTCAAGAAGATTTTATCCAGCGAGTTATTCTGAATTTCAAGCTGACCAGAAAACGCGAGAATGATGTTTGCGGTAGTTTTATTCCATGCTCTCTGCCTGACATTTTAAAAACTGCAACACGGAAAGAAGGAGATACAATCATAAGTATATCTTTATTTATGCGGGATAGTAGAAACGTGAACGTCGAAGAGGAAGCGGACAGCCTGTTGTCACATGCAATTTATCGTCAAGGCAATTGATAAGTTGCTTTAAAATGTTAAATGTCTTCTGTCGATTTAAAATGTTAGCGATAGTATATGTAGAATGAAAAATGGGAAGGCACCTTTTTGAAAGAGCATTATCAAATCTTTTCTGAAAGAGCATTATCAAATATTTTCTGAAAGAGCATTATCAACAAAACTGAGTACAGTAAATTCTCCCAAATTCACGCTCAGATTGCGCACAAAAATGGACAGTTTGGGAAGAGGAGATACGATTATTCGATGCTTGCGGCTCGTTTTTATAGTTGTTGATAATAATAATAACCACAAAAATGTGCCGCAAGGCTCGAATAATTGTATCTCTTCTTCCCAAATCGTCCATTTTTGTGTACAAGCTGAGGGTCAATTAGGGAGAATTTACCGTAGTACTAGTCCAACGATATGAAAATTCGTNCCATTTTTGTGTACAAGCTGAGGGTCAATTAGGGAGAATTTACCGTAGTACTAGTCCAACGATATCGATATTTAACGAAAAACAGTTGGAATTATAGACATTGTCGTAAATTAGAACAGTTTGGGACCACATACCGTATGCAAATTGTATTATTGCAATCTCTAAAGAAAACCAAATACAAAAACCGTTTTAAGTGCATCAAGACTTGCAGTCTGCAAGATGCAAAAGGATTGCGCGAATAACTGATGTCAGCATCGTTTTTTTTAACAATGTTTTCAGAAATTCGCGGCAGATTGATCTCCGATTTTAATACTAAACCAACCGAGCATTAAACACGACTAACGAGTATTGCTTGACCTTTCGCTATTTTTATTATACTGTATGTTTGGATTAAGAAGTTCATTCGATTGTTTCCTATCGCGAAGGAATAATTATAAATCTCTCATAAATTTATGAAAATAATTATTCGATTGAATAATTCCAAGGCCAAAAAGAAAAAAAAAGAAGGAAAAAGACGATCATCTGGACCGGTACGTTAACGTTAAGACGTTCGTTAGGGAATAGCTGGCGGATAAATTGTTAAGAAACGAAATCGGTAGTGAATCGATCGCCTTCGCAGAGAACGCGCGAACATCCTCGCATCCTCGTGGGTTCCGGCAGTCGCGCGTTCGAGCAATACGAGATGTCGCGAAGAGGGTTTCCGCTTGGAACGCGGCCGCAGATTACGTGTCCGCGTTGCACAGAGAAAATCCGCGCCGCGGCTGGTACCCAGTCCGGAGGAAGCTTTAGTTTGCCGTCTCTGAATCGCGTAGGTAAATGGCTGTTCTCTTTAACCACGTACACGAGGAGCTCGCGAGAAAAAGACCGTGGAGAGGGTACGGGTAAAGAAAGAACGAAGGAGGCTCGTCGTGGAAAAGAGAGGATCAGAGACACTCGGAGGAGTTCTCGAGGAGAACGTTGCGAGGTGAAAAGAATGACGTGGGGTGGCAATGGAGGCGGCGTTGGCGACGACGGTGGTGGTGGTAGTAGAGGCAGAGGCGGTGGTAGTAGCGCGGCGGTGGCGTCGATGCTCGTGGTGGTGATGGTGGTGGTGGTGGCGGCGGAGGAAAAAAGGTAGAGCTATTGGCGGGAAAAACGGTGTCTTGGAAAAAGGTGCAAAGCCGACAGTATTCTTTGTAGCGGGGATATTCGTCTTGTGTGCCGAAGACCTCTCGCACTTCTTTACCTTTTACAACCCCCGCCCCGTCGTCGGCCACCCACCACCCTCTTCTTTGCGTCTCTCTCCACTTCCTTGCTAACGCCGTCTCCTTCGGCTACGACGATTACAGCGCAACTACTGTAGCGTCGAACATCTAGTAGCAGCAGCGACGGCTTACTTCTCCGCCCATGGCTGGATCCCTTACTCGACAGGGGCTCTTCTGCCACGAGATATTTACCAACATCCAAGATGGCGGCATAATCTTCCCGGCTTCCCGTCGAAAGCCGACGAGTCATCCACGCAGCCAGTCCCTTTTTCGCCCGTAAACACTTTCATCGTTCTCGTTTTACTGACTCCGCCCTTAGTCGCTTCCTTTCCCATGGCTTTCCCTTCTTCTTCTTGGCTNAGATTGCGCACAAAAATGGACAGTTTGGGAAGAGGAGATACGATTATTCGATGCTTGCGGCTCGTTTTTATAGTTGTTGATAATAATAATAACCACAAAAATGTGCCGCAAGGCTCGAATAATTGTATCTCTTCTTCCCAAATCGTCCATTTTTGTGTACAAGCTGAGGGTCAATTAGGGAGAATTTACCGTAGTACTAGTCCAACGATATCGATATTTAACGAAAAACAGTTGGAATTATAGACATTGTCGTAAATTAGAACAGTTTGGGACCACATACCGTATGCAAATTGTATTATTGCAATCTCTAAAGAAAACCAAATACAAAAACCGTTTTAAGTGCATCAAGACTTGCAGTCTGCAAGATGCAAAAGGATTGCGCGAATAACTGATGTCAGCATCGTTTTTTTTAACAATGTTTTCAGAAATTCGCGGCAGATTGATCTCCGATTTTAATACTAAACCAACCGAGCATTAAACACGACTAACGAGTATTGCTTGACCTTTCGCTATTTTTATTATACTGTATGTTTGGATTAAGAAGTTCATTCGATTGTTTCCTATCGCGAAGGAATAATTATAAATCTCTCATAAATTTATGAAAATAATTATTCGATTGAATAATTCCAAGGCCAAAAAGAAAAAAAAAGAAGGAAAAAGACGATCATCTGGACCGGTACGTTAACGTTAAGACGTTCGTTAGGGAATAGCTGGCGGATAAATTGTTAAGAAACGAAATCGGTAGTGAATCGATCGCCTTCGCAGAGAACGCGCGAACATCCTCGCATCCTCGTGGGTTCCGGCAGTCGCGCGTTCGAGCAATACGAGATGTCGCGAAGAGGGTTTCCGCTTGGAACGCGGCCGCAGATTACGTGTCCGCGTTGCACAGAGAAAATCCGCGCCGCGGCTGGTACCCAGTCCGGAGGAAGCTTTAGTTTGCCGTCTCTGAATCGCGTAGGTAAATGGCTGTTCTCTTTAACCACGTACACGAGGAGCTCGCGAGAAAAAGACCGTGGAGAGGGTACGGGTAAAGAAAGAACGAAGGAGGCTCGTCGTGGAAAAGAGAGGATCAGAGACACTCGGAGGAGTTCTCGAGGAGAACGTTGCGAGGTGAAAAGAATGACGTGGGGTGGCAATGGAGGCGGCGTTGGCGACGACGGTGGTGGTGGTAGTAGAGGCAGAGGCGGTGGTAGTAGCGCGGCGGTGGCGTCGATGCTCGTGGTGGTGATGGTGGTGGTGGTGGCGGCGGAGGAAAAAAGGTAGAGCTATTGGCGGGAAAAACGGTGTCTTGGAAAAAGGTGCAAAGCCGACAGTATTCTTTGTAGCGGGGATATTCGTCTTGTGTGCCGAAGACCTCTCGCACTTCTTTACCTTTTACAACCCCCGCCCCGTCGTCGGCCACCCACCACCCTCTTCTTTGCGTCTCTCTCCACTTCCTTGCTAACGCCGTCTCCTTCGGCTACGACGATTACAGCGCAACTACTGTAGCGTCGAACATCTAGTAGCAGCAGCGACGGCTTACTTCTCCGCCCATGGCTGGATCCCTTACTCGACAGGGGCTCTTCTGCCACGAGATATTTACCAACATCCAAGATGGCGGCATAATCTTCCCGGCTTCCCGTCGAAAGCCGACGAGTCATCCACGCAGCCAGTCCCTTTTTCGCCCGTAAACACTTTCATCGTTCTCGTTTTACTGACTCCGCCCTTAGTCGCTTCCTTTCCCATGGCTTTCCCTTCTTCTTCTTGGCTACCTCGGGCCTCCTCGCGGTCCGCTCCGCGCTTTCTTCGCCCACCGCTCTCGGACCACCGCGCGCGGCTAACCGACACAAACGGCAAATTCTTCTACCTCCGGGATCGATCGGCGGACCGTCTTCGCGGTTTCTTTTGACCGAGACCCACTGGAATGTAACTCGAAGACATTTCCACGGGGAACTTGTTGAGGGACTTCGGCTCGGCGATCAGTTAGCCATCTTAATTTCAAACAATTAGCAGACTCGCGGCGCCAGCCTCTCGCGAAACTTCCGGATTCTTCTTCTTATTTTCACCGCCGCCGTTTAATTTCATCGAGCCGCCGGGATCTTGAAATCTGTAACTCCAGCTGGGTCCGCACGGTTTTCTCTACTGTTTGAGTAGCTAATCGATGAGAGAACTACATCCACGGATGCCGACTTCAACGAACGAAGAAGCCACGCAGAGAGATAAAAAGACTTCGGTCCGATCTTACTGTTCGCGTTGATACAGTTTCTTTCGTGCCAGTTACATCGTTTAGTTTAGGATTTGTTTCGATTAGATCGTTGAAGATCATTTGAAAATCATTAGGAGGGTCCAAAAACATATTTCGAAAGTTAATACAACGAATAGACCGCAGATCTTTGTGTAAAATGAAATGCATGTGTGAATTTTTCTTTTATTAGCTTTAACAAATTGCAAAGGCTATGACACAGATTCGACGTGTCCATTTTTGTTGTAGCGATTTCCATCCATGCTAAGCTCATTTGCTCGAAGTAGAAACAGAGAATTCTTAAATCAGAGATTTCTTTAGTTCGCAATTGATTTAACGCTACCATTTATATTTCTCAATTTTTTTTTCAAGTCAGAAGATTGCGAATAGGACACGAATATGTACATAATTTTCTACTTCTGTAGACGAACGTCATGATCCAATACACAGCATCCAATAGAAAATTATTTGAATAAATAAACTCTGAATATGGCCGAAATAAAGTGAATACTTTATGCAAAATTGTCGCGATGAATATGTCGCTGTGTTTTGTACGCCACGAAATTGATTACACGAACATTATGGAAGACGAGAAGTTTTTCTCAAAAAACCAGTTTGTTCTTCATTCTAGTTCTTATCAAATGATAAGTACATTTTAAGCATAGCAATCTAATCGCGCAGATCTCGTTAGATAGAAAAATCGGTCGCATAACTAGAAAGACTTTTCAATATTTAACCATCCGTGTGGCCCATTAAGTAGAAGATCCAGTTGGATAACCAGAGAGACTGTTTCCGAAGGAAGCTGTTTCGTTATCCGATTTGCCGACGACAACCAGCGATCGTGCACCAGAAAAATGTTTAAAGGAATCGTGTAATGAGTACAGAACCATCGGGGGACACGGTCGAGATTTATACGAAGGAGATCGAGAGGGAAGAAATCAGGAGAGGTAAATACGTGTCGTGGGAGAGTCCAGGATAAGAAGCAATCGAATCGAATAGTGGAACTCGAGGAATCCGCAATCCGTCGCGAAGTGAATGGCGAACGCCTAAGGGTTCTATAGTAGAGTATACCGCCGTCTATTTCTCCCTTCGACGACCTAACCTAACTTAGTCGAAACCTCAGATTAAAGCGGTAATCGCTGAATCGGCAAAAGACATCCGAGACGAAGGTGAAAAGGAAGGGAATCCGTGAACCTTAGGTTCTTCATACCACTGACGCTTTCTAAGAAAAGAATCAAGAAGACTATAGAGATTCAAGATTACTCTTCCAGATTTGCAACTCTCCTTGGCCCCTATTTTCCGCAAAATGGCCGCAGAAATATTCTTCCGATAGAACGCGAAAATGTTCATTCGCACCGTGCATTTTTTATTGTTAAAGTTCGTTCGATATATAATGTTGCAAAAGTTTAATACGCTTTACAGTAAATTCCTCCCACTTGACGTTCAGATTCTACACAAAAATGGACAATTTTGGAAGAGGAGTCCAAATGATCAGCTTTTTTCTTTTTTTTTCTCTTTGATCTTAGAATTATTCAATCGAATAATTATTTTCATAAATTTATGATTTATAATTATTCCTTCGCGATAGGAAACAATCGAATGAACTTCTTAATCCAAACATACAGTATAATAAAAATAGCGAAAGGTCAAGCAATACTCGTTAGTCGTGTTTAATGCTTGGTTGGTTTAGTATTAAAATCGGAGATCAATCTGCCGCGAATTTCTGAAAACATTGTTTAAAAAAAACGATGCTGACATCAGTTATTCGCGCAATCCTTTTGCATCTTGCAGACTGCAAGTCTTGATGCACTTAAAACGGTTTTTGTATTTGGTTTTTTTTAGAGATTGCAATAATACAATTTGCATACGGTATGTGATCCCAAACTGTTCTAATTTACGACAATGTCTATAATTCCAACTGTTTTTCGTTAAATATCGATATCGTTCGACTAGTACTACGGTAAATTCTCCCTAATTGACCCTCAGCTTGTACACAAAAATGGACAATTTGGGAAGAAGAGATACAATTATTCGAGCCTTGCGACACATTTTTGTGGTTATTATTATTATCAACAACTATAAAAACGAGCCGCAAGCATCGAATAATCGTATCTCCTCTTCCCAAACTGTCCATTTTTGTGCGCAATCTGAGCGTGAATTTGGGAGAATTTACTGTACTCAGTTTTGTTGATAATGCTCTTTCAGAAAATATTTGATAATGCTCTTTCAGAAAAGATTTGATAATGCTCTTTCAAAAAGGTGCCTTCCCATTTTTCATTCTACATATACTATCGCTAACATTTTAAATCGACAGAAGAGAGACATTTAACATTTTAAAGGAACTTATCAATTGCCTTGACGATAAATTGCATGTGACAACAGGCTGTCCGCTTCCTCTTCGACGTTCACGTTTCTACTATCCCGCATAAATAAAGATATACTTACGATTGTATCTCCTTCTTTCCGTGTTGCAGTTTTTAGAATGTCAGGCAAAGAGCATGGAATAAAACTACCGCAAACATCATTCTCGCGTTTCTGGTCAGCTTGAAATTCAGAATAACTCGCTGGATAAAATCTTCTTGAACAGATCGAATTTTTCGCGATGCTCTTTTCTAAAAAGCAAACAGAACGAACTGTCTCATATTTTTGCAACACTTAATTACCGTTAAATCGTAACAATAAACTCTAAATCGCCAAAAGAACATTGTCTTTCAAAGAAGTGTCTCATAACTAGATCATAGATTTTATGCACCAAAAATAAATAAGCCAAATTTAGAACCTAAAAAGAAACATTGTGAAAATTTAAGGATATTATTACATTATTATAATAGTTATTGAAAGAAAAAAGAAAATATTTTCATCTAACTTGCGTTTCTTAGAATTGACGTAGGCAAGTTTTATTTTGCATGTGTAGAGTGTGCCATCCGATGGTTTCTTTACAAAAGAAGAACGTCCAATATTTTATAAAATCGTTTGCTCCATTAAAAAGGATATTGATTAATTACGACAAATAATTTCATTGAAATGTCTGCCACGATTGACTTCACAGTAGTCTATACTGTCGACCCACTTTTTCAATACATTTCCAGCTACTTCTGGCTTTATCTCACGAATATATAGCTTGATAAATAGTTTCCTTAAGCGATCGCCTATTGCCTTTAGACTGTTAAACCCCATAAAGACAAACGTCAACGGCGTCAAATCACAGCTGCGTCGTGACCACGACACATTTCCAAAACGGCTGATCACACGATCGACCGAGTTTACTCGATTGTTTGACAGCTGATGTCGCGTGTGTTGTACCGTTGAGATTATTTTTCATAACTAATCGATAGGTTTACGCTATTTAATGAAGTATTAAACTTAGAAACATATCAAACAGTTTCTTTCTTGTAGAAATTTTAAAAAGAAGCTTATCCTAGCTAATTTTAAACAGAAGCTTACCCTATATGTACAACAAAACCAACGGCATTTGTGCAAACAAAATGCAGAAGAAAAGGTACGGGTCGATGTGAGTGGTGATAAAATTCGAAAACGGTCCTATCTTACCGAATACATAAATAGATCGTTCTCTGCGACAGAAAGCTTCGAAAGATCGAAAGAACATTACGTATCCGTCTAATGAAGTAACGAAAGCGATTGGAGGGGCTCGCGGAAAGGAAACATCGGAACGTTATCGGATCAGCTCGGAGGAGCAATAGCCGGCGAGGCGAGGCCTTGGATCGCGATCGTCGATGGAAAAAGCAGCAATAACAGGATGTTACGATACACAATGAATATCGTGTAAATAAATATAACGTGTGGGGGAAGAAAGCAGAGCAAAGCGGGGCCGGTAGTCACGGAAGAGCTTCGCTGGTACGCGGAGTAAGTGCAATAATACCAGATTATTTGCATCGCAAAGCCGTGCGTATGGGTAAACACAATATTCGCTCTCTGCTCGGCTCTGTGAACCGATAGTGCGCTCAGGTAGATACGCATCCGTCTATACCACTCCATTCCTCTCTCCTTCTCTTTCTCCCTCTCTCTCTCTCCTTCTCTTTCTCCCTCTCTCTCTCTCTCCTTCTCTTTCTCCCTCTCTCTCTTCCTCTCTCTCTCTTTCTCTTTCTCTCCCTCCCTCTCTTTCTCTCTCTCTCCCTCCCTACATCATCCCCTTTCTCTTTCACCTTCCCTCTTCGGCGATTCTCTCTACTTTGCGCCCATCGCGTCCTCTCTTTCGTTCGCGCTGCATCGGACGTCTCTCTTTCTCCCTTTTATCGTATTCTGTCTATCGTCATGCCCTGCTCTCCTTCTCCCTTCCTTGTTCAGCTTTCCATCCCTTTTCTCTCTACCCCACTCGGCCTCTCTCTCTCTCTCTCGCTCCCTTTCTCTCTCTTTCTCCGTCTCCCTCATTCGCTTTCTCTCTCCTCCCCTGTCATCCCCTCTCGCTCTATGTACTGCCACGGCGTAATACAGATTCTATTTGAGCTGCCTGAGGGAAGTTAACTCGTGATGCGTGCAGCCCGGCTCGCTCTGTTGGCGATACCACGGATCCCATCGTTCTCCATTTCGAAGCTGAAAATCCAAGGACCCCGGACTAGCGAATACGTTTCCGCGCGCCGGCACACACCGCGACGAAACGGAAATTGTGACGTCCTCCATGGTTTCTGAGGTCAGCTCCCTCCCCCCTGCTCGCACTCTTCATTAGACTTCGACCTTTTCTTCTTTTTTTTTTCTTCCGCGTTCGTCCCGCGCCGTTTCCGTTCCCCTTTTTTTCGGGAGCGGAACCGACCGGAAGCCGAGTGCGATTTTTCACTCGAGGAAGCAAATTATTGATTTTCGCGGCCGCGCGCGAATTCTGGTAATTATAGCGACAAGATTTGAGACAATCGACGATGGGCGATATTGATTCGAACACAGGCAGTTTTTATAAAGGACGTTTACAGAGTGTATTGCTGATTTAGTGATCGATTTAAGGGTGGAACGCGCGAGATGTCGGGATTATTGCCTAAGGGACCACAGACCACAGCCGATACCGATTTCGTTCTTTCGAATCGGTTGATTTTCTTTGGAGTCGAGCGATGTTTGCTGTTGTTTCGAGGATAATATCAGAAAAATTAGTGAGAACGGCAATAGAGCTTTTATATACGCTGAAATTATTGTCGTGAAAATTGGGGGGCTGAAATTTCTTTTTCTCGCATTTGTTCATATGACAACGTGAATAAATGAGAAAGTGACTTTATTTGTTACTTATGTTTATGTGTACTACAACATTTGAACGACTGTTGAAGAACTGTTTTTCGTGTTTTAACAGGTTCCGTGCCACGTGTACCACCGATGGGGTACATGCTTGCATGTTTATCTAATGCGCTAAAAGTATAGTTTAATAACAAATTTAGAACCGAAGAATTAATTTCCACTGCAAGAATCGGTCGTAATAAGTTCGTTTCATTGTTATACATACGGTAATTAATAATTACATATAAAATGCATCAAGTTTTAGTAAAATATCAAATGATCAGTGCGAAGAGTCGAGTAAAAACAGCTCGGCGCGTAACGTGATAAGGGATGGAAAATTTGTGACGCAGCTATCCTTTCATTCCGGAAATGCACAGGCGTGAGAATAAAGTTTAGCCGTCGCTCTAATCCGAAAGAATAAAGTCGCTGCGAGTTAAAATGCACGGTGATTTCGTTTGACTACGTCCGCCGTCTGAGAAGGGGGTAGAACGCCGGGGGCGATTACAAGGAAGTGAAAAATTTACGACGCTGAACTTACTTCGCTGATTCTTCAGTGGCGTAATTTGAAGTTCGCGAGGAGTAAAGGACGTATTTTTGATGAAAGAAAGTTCGTAAGAACGGGAAGTTTAGTAATAGGAGGAGCAGCTCCGACCAGGCCTTAAACACTGCAAAATATTATACTCCATATCGTTCCGGAAGGTGGAGTTCGAAATTAGAAACTTTTAATTGCTCTTATAACGATACAGGACGTCGGTCTTACTATCATAATCTTAATTTCCATTAAGCGCGCCCTTCCATACATGTTCCTACAAATTGATAGGTTACACAGCAAGTTAATGGGATCGTTTTGATCTTTCACTTTGTAATGATCTTCTAGAGCCATCTATTTTTAATATTTTAGTAGAAATTAGGATACGTAATAGCGATGGAAATATTTTATATATCGATCTTAAAGCAATATAGTTATTTTATTTTAAAGTTATTTTATTTTCTACCAGCTATTTTATTTTCAGGTGAACTTCAGGTCAACGATCGGTTTCAGATTTTTCATTTTACTATAAAAAATTATGAAGAATTATAAAAAATTGTAAAGAATTATAAAGAATTATATAGAATTATATAGAATTATATAGAATTATATAGGATTATAAAGAATTATAAACAATAACAAATTATATAGAATTATATAGAATTACAAAAAATTCTAAAGAATTATAAGGAAACATAAGGACCTATACAAAAGCATAAAGAACTATAAATAAATAATAAATAAACTATATCATAACCAGTTGAACGCACTAAGTACCGAAAATCATCCCTAAAGAACCCCATAAACCCAAGTAATTCGATTAACGAAGCTGAAACTACGTAAAAAGTTAAAAATCATAGTGGATGATACATAAATTCTTTTGCACCCTGAAGATCCAAGTAAAACTTCCGTTTATTCGAATATGTTGCAATAAAAATGTATTGTTGAAAACTAGTCAAAAATTAATGTCACTCTCAACATGGTCAACATGGTCACCCACAACCCATCCGAAATAAACCAGCCACTTCGAATGTTCGGTAGCTAACCGTAGTTAACGATAACAATTTTACCCGAACGATGACCTTGAACCGAGTGGGGTGTGAGAGGGAATTAGCTAATTTCTCTTTGGAAACATGCCCGATTTCGAGGCGGGAACAACAACAACAACAACAACAATTTCGCGAACGAAAATCCAGAGGGCAACGACCATATTCGAGGCTGAGTATCGATACCGAGCCCCGGCTCATACGTTCTATTAGTATGTAACGCCTGGTCCCTTTACCGCGCCGCTCAAAGCAAAGCAGCCCCCGGAGTGTTACAATTTCGCCCTCTCTACCCCCAGTCTGCCTCGAAAGTCCCTTTATCTATCCCGCTATTTTCCTAACTCCGACGTCCCCTCCGGGGTTTCTCCTCGTCGGTGGTGACGACAACGATTCCTCTTCTCCTGAAGGAGGATGGAGGGAGTCGTGGATACCGGCCGCTGGTGGGGAACTGCGCACCCCGCCAACCCCTTCGGTAGGGGTTGAAATGCCCGCCCATTGGTCCGCCCATGTAGGACCAAAGCAGTCACTTCGAATCAATTCGACCCACGATTTCGCCTCGTAGACGGTCCTCCACAGTGCTGGCACACTCGCAATCGTGCTTCATAAGCTTCGACCGCATTTCGTACACCTAACCTCGACACACCGCTCGCGCGACCGAGATCAAAGTTGACAAAGTAGACGCCGACCGACCGCCAGCGTCGACGATCAGTGACCGGTTAACCGGGGGATGGAAATCAACAGCTTGTCCGCACCGTCGGTTTCTCCGTTCCGCTTGTGACTTCGTCGTCGTCGAGTGTTGCCGTTGACCGACCGCGACACGAGGAAGATAAACAGGAGGAGGAAGCCTCGCCAGAGGACGAGGAGAAGCCAAGCGTTTCGAGAACGGTCGAAGATAAGTTGTCGCGACAGTTGAAAATCGGTTCGACGGTGCGGGGAATTCGCGGAAGATCGATAAGCGAGCATGAGAACGACGTGGAATTGCGATGCTCTCTGAGGAGGATCCCGTAAGATGACTAGCGACGCGACAGAGCCGCAGAGTGCGCCAGTTCGAGTGATCGCGGCCGACATCCTTGAGACGCCTCGCGAGCAGATGACAGAGAGGAGGACCGGCGTAGAAAAATCGGCTCGTTATCGTTGTGGAAACAAACTATTAGCGTAAGATAGCATCTGGTCGGAGCCGGTGTGTGACAGTTGCTCCGATAAATATGTCGGGGAAGGAGCGTTCGTGATACGTTCGCGGCAGCCCCGAGTGAACTTCGCGGTTTAGACCTTGATCGGAAGCGATCCGATCCTCGGCGCGAACCGATCCTCTTCTTCGACCATCGATGCACGCGGAGACGCATGCTCGCCGCCTGTAGACCGCGACCGGCGTCCTAATCGCTCTCGCAAGGGAGCAAACGATGCGAGCCAGTGGCGATTACAAAGGGGTCCCCCATGACCTCGAACATTAGTCTGCAACTTCTGTCCCGCGAGTCTGCCCATGAAGCGATCACGATGGAGCCGCGTGGGATGATAATGTCGAACTTGTCGTGCGACGGCTGCGCTGACAGCGATCGGGACTCGGACAGCAGCAGCATGATCGTGGACCCGGTGAGTCTCGACAAGAACGATTTGTCACCGTCCCAGTCGTCGTCGAGCCCGATAATCCCGAGCTCCCCGGTGCCCGCCACAGCCTCCTCGAGGAACCGCGGTGGCAGCCGCGGCAAGAAGAACTACACAATGATGTCGACGAACGGCCAGCAGAAGACCGGCTCGTCCGGCCAGGCCTCGACATACGGGAACGACAAAATGTCCTCGTCCCTGATCAAGCCCCCGTACTCGTACATAGCGTTGATCACGATGGCGATCCTGCAGTCGCCGCAGAAGAAGCTCACCCTGAGCGGCATCTGCGAGTTCATCATGTCCCGGTTCCCTTACTATCACGACAAGTTCCCAGCCTGGCAGAACTCCATCAGACACAATCTTTCCTTGAACGACTGTTTCATCAAGATCCCCCGCGAGCCCGGCAACCCCGGCAAGGGGAACTACTGGACGCTGGACCCTCTGGCCGAGGACATGTTCGACAACGGCAGCTTCCTGCGTCGCAGGAAGAGGTACAAGAGGCCCCCGCCGCACTACGTTCTCCGCGACAGAGCCATCATGGCAACTTTCGCTATCTGCGGCGACCGAGGTCCTTGCCCCGGCGGCGGCGGCAGTCATCCAGGTGCGCTAACCTATCCCAGCGCCGCGTACCTGTCACCGCCGCCTGGCCTGCCGTTGCTCGACTTCTCGCCCTCGACCCTCGAGGCCCTGAAGCTCGGAGGATTCCTGGAGCCGCCGCCGCCGCTGTACAAACCCGTGCCGATCACCGCGCCGCCCATCAGGCAGATCGACCCGGCGCCGACGAGGACGCCGACGACGATACCAACGAGTCATCCGCCCGTCGACAAGAAGAGGAACTTCAGCATCGACGCTCTGATCGGCAAACAGGCGGCCAGCGAGCAGAACTGCGGCGGCCTGCTGGACCTCAGCCCGACGGAACACAGGGAGATCAGAAGTCAGGCGTCCGCGTTCTCGCCACTGGTTTAGAGTTTCGGAGGAACCACCGCCGGTCGCAGTTTCCGCTCGAAGCCCAGCTGCGGTCGCTCGTATCGGAGAACTATTTTACCATGTTCGTAGAGTCGTGCGCGCCGTCGCTGCTCGACGACTGGGATCGCGGACATGTTTTTTTAGTTGCGACGGCTTCCTGGAGACTCTGGATCCCGCGGATGGCGTCGATGTCTTTTGCGGTTCTTCGAGGAGGACGATGCTCGTGTTCGAGTCGCGTTTGTATTTAGATTTTTGTTCACTTCGAAGGGCAAAACGGAACGTGGTGGTAAAACGCGCGAGTACGGCCGGGGAATTCTTGATATCACGCGGGATGATTCTTAGCCTCGGACTAAATTGCTAGTGCTGATCGTTGACTGTCCCGACTCGGCTGTCGACGCTAAGAAGACTCGCAGGACAAATCCTGAAGAACCGGTGTCGCCGATTACAGTGAAATCCTCTGCAGGTACACGACACCGTAGAGAGAAACGGGCGACGGAGGACTCGCCGAGTAAATGTCACGAGTACGTACGCTTTGTGTAAAAAAAAAACAGACGCGGGTATGTTTGAATAATTGTAAAAAAAAAAGAAAAAAATGATCAAGTGTAGTGCAATAGTGTAGTGATTTGTTTAATATACGGGAATACTCTTCTTTGATCTTCGTTACTCGAACTTTACCATTAGTGGTTTCTTTTCTAGCTGAACAAGTAGCCCCATCGCGTCGACTCGTTTGTAAACGATCGATTAATATCGGCACTGTAAATACACCCCCGCCCCCCGCCCCCCTTCTTCCCCCCACCCCGAACAAATCTTTGCTCAGCTTTCTATCGTTTACGTGGGTGCGAGCGAGGCGGAGAGAATGCTGGGGCGCAAGATTATGCGTGCTCGAGAGAAAGAGAGAAAGTTGGGAAGGTCGGTTCTCTTCGGAGGATCGCGCGTAAAACTCGAGTCGTCGTGTTTTTTTTCTGGTCAAGTAGACATTTAGTGCGCATAGGGAACGAGTTGTCCGACCGAACATTTGTCAAATTCGATCGACGAAACTATGTATATTTCGTAATTGTTCGAGGCGAACCCGCAACATTACGCTCGAACGAATCCTTGCGTTCCCTTCTTTCGTTCGACACTGCACCGTTTCGTTCGCGCGATCAACGCGACTTTTTCATAGGCTGCGACGAACGAACATCAGGCGCGTACAGCGGTTTCATCGGCGATGGCAAGAGCATTTCATCGTGGCGCGAGGGAATTCGCGTCGAATCGTTCGAATCGGCGAACGATCGAGCGGGATTGAGTTATAACCACGCTGCTCGGGATGCTTAAACTATTCGCGGATTCGAACGATTATGTCGTTTAGCAAAGCATGCGACGAGTAATGAACTCTTTGAGCTAGTCGGGCAACGATATCCGCGACGATAAATTGCTGAAACAGATGTTCCGCGTTCGTTCTCCCGAATTCTTCGACGGCGCGACCTTTCTACGCGCAGCACGATTAAAACCGGTCGAACATTTCGACGAATTTGGCGAGCCTGTCTGCGAGAACGTTTCGCGGCCTCGTTGAGTTTTTCAACGTAAACTTTCATTCACAGCTGCCGCTATTACGGTGATCAATTTTTTTTTAATCAGCCTGTAGTGCGAGAGCGGCGCACGAAATAGCCACACTCTATCGTTAAATATTGCACTATTTATTGACAAACGTGCCGTCTTGTTTAGAAAGCAAGTAAGTAAATCGATTTTACAGTTGCTTATCTGGTGGATTCGTTTGCGAGGGACAGAGCTATTCTTTATTAAGAAATTTTCGCCGGAGACTAGGTTCGTTGCTTCGAGAGCTACATTTGGAAAATATTCCATATTTTTGTAAATAAAGATCGGTAGAAAGTGAAACCTAATTATCGCTCCCGATGAAAATTGTCCAAAGTTTTGCGACAGTAATTCCGAATGTCGAAGTACTTGTGCTAACGTCGTTACGCTTATCTTTCCGTCAACATCGAGGACCGCTGATCGGTGTCGATCGGAGGACACGAAACACGCGAGCAATATGATTGTCTTCTTCTTCTTTCTTCTTTATAGATCGCTATCAAAAGAAGCCGGAAGAACGCAATAAAACAGTTTGGTATCATTTTGTAACCGTTTCGAGTGATTCTCCCATCAATTATTGGATCGATTATTAATCGAAGTCTACCTAATCCGAGGAACATTCGATCAGCTCGTGAACGAACGTTCGATGACTGGAAACCTTTTGTCCCGTCCTGTATTACCTTTCCCTTGCATTTCACCGATCGATCCGCGGGTATTAACGCGATTCTAAACAAAGAAGTCTTTCCGACTCCGAAAATTATGAACGATTGAATACAATCGCGTGTACAAAAACGGGGGAGAAGAGAGAAAGAGAGAGAGAGAGAGAGAGAGAGAGAGAGAGAGAGGAGAAAAAAGAGTAGCTGCACCACGTCAACGATTTTTAATGTCGACGCACGGCAGATCCGCCGTGAACATTTCGAAACGCACGCACGGAAATCCACGAGAAAAGAGAATGGAATAAATTGTAATTAATCTCCTCGACGATACGCATCCATGACGAGGACACGAATACTCACCGGTGAGAGAGAAAGAAGCGCGCGTAGCTGTTAATGAATTTTCCCTGGTTATAGGATGACAAAATTGTGAGATATGGCACACGACGCACAACAGCGCGAACGTAGTCAGTGAAATCTGCATTTCATTTTCCTATTAACGACATCTAATTTGCGTTATCGTTCCGTCCCCATTTCCGAAGCATTTTTACTCTATCTTCTCTCCTCCTCCTCTCGTCGATTGATTATTTTCCTGCAAAATCGGATCACCCTCTATCGATTTATCGAGCCCATCCATTAAAAAGCAATTAATCCTTTTCTACGAAAGTGTCTGCCGCATCGGAGAGAACGTTTGCCGAAGCCTTCACTCGATGATTGTACCTCGTATTTTCTCGTATGTTATGTATTCATAGAATTCGCAATCTAGAGTTGTCAACGGCTATCGATCGAACTGTATTAAGTGTACCAATAAATAATCGATTATTTTCCTAATAACATGGCGTTACAGTTGAAATTCAATATATTTTCCCACCTATCGATGCGATGTGAAAAATCTTCACGACAATTTCACGGACATTGCGAAGCATGTTGCGGCGAATTAAAAAAGAAATATTATATGCTTATTGGTACACCAAATATTATCGTTTCCAGCCCTCGCGTACTATTCGAATAATTGTTACATTGATATCCGTTTGCGTAAATTGTGACAATAGTCGAACTAATTTTGGCAAGCGTGTTCGAAACTGAATTCGACCGGTCGTTAAAATTAATTAGGCAGGTCGATGCAAGAAATATCGTTTCGTAACCGTTGGAATCTGGAAACGTTCGAATCGGCTTGTTTCGAGACAACGTTAGACACCGTTAACGTCGGGAAACTGATACTTCTTTTCGCTTCGCGATTGCTCAAGGCGAGCCGAGAATCCCGTGTTATTTTCGTTATCGTCAACATTTATGCAAAACTGATTACGTTGCTCGTGCGCTTCTGATACGCACGATGGTCGCCACGATAAGGAAAATCGTTTTCATAACGATCGTTCTTAACTTCGCGCGTTTTCCTCAAACGAACACGTCATGGTCTCGACGCGACGAACGCGATCATTCGTATAATTTTCCGCGGAAAACCGTTTAAACAAAAAAAAAAAAAATAAAAGGAAAAAAAGAAAGTTGCGAGACCAAGTTGCGTACCCAAAGGGTACGCAAACGATGTTCCGCCGTTTGAATTGTTACCTCGAGTCGATGAACGAAGACGCAAAACGTTCGTTAACCGTATCTTCGTTCCCCAAGAAACTTTTAATCTAGAGAAAACTTCTGCACAGGGCCGGTAAAAAGTTTCGTTGATTCCATGCGCGACGCATAATAGCAAACGTGTCCGTCTACGTTCGTTTTGCGTGGAGGATGAAACAGAGCTGGCAGAGAAGGAAAGTTAGGCAAAATGGTGACACCGAAAGCACGATTACGAATTATTGTTTGAACGATGTATATTTTACTAACGGCGTCGAGTGATCCCTGATATCGTGTTAAGGTATTGTAAAGAAAAATCGTCAGCGATACGTCTGTTTGTTCCTTTACCGAATAAGTACCGCCGCCATATTGTACGTTTAGTTATAGGTTTACCGTTAAAACTTGTCTCTGTAGATCTAGTAAGTATTATACGTGTCAAGATGATAGATTTATAATAACGTGTAATAATGTCAACAATAAAGTACTGTTAAGTATACGGATCGCTCTCATTTCGAAGTATGTATGCACTTCAATCGAATGCAACTCTGCACGCACACACCAGTCATGTCGCAGCTCGATTCGTCGGCCAATTACGTTCGAACGCGCCGTAAATATTTATTTCGCGAAACGGACATTTCAGTTAACGTCTATTCATAATCACCGAAGTCGCTCTTTCGTCGTCGACTTTTATCATAGGGGACATTTTTACAACTTTATCATCGATTTACAGGTTCATACATCTGTTCAGAAATATTCTTGTAGTATTCTTATTATTTTTTCTTTATTCTTGTTACTCTTATATACGTTATATCTCCATCGATTGCATTTAACGACAAATCTAACGAGCCTTGAAAAGAACTACAGTAAATTCTTCCTAATTGACGCTCAGTTTGGAAACAAAACTGGACAATTTGGAAAGAGGAAGTACGATCGCGACAATCGGCAACTATAAAAACGAGCCGCAAGGCTTGAACGATTGTATCTCCACTTCCTAAATAGTCCATTTTTGTGCACAATCTGAACGTCAATTAGGGAGAATTTACTGTAACCTGCTTTCTAACGATGAAAAGACTGCATCTATTTTGATTTCTCATTGTTTGCACTGTAATGTATATCATTTCCTGTGAAGGTCTTTACAATTTAGTATGATTTAGTGATAATAGTTCACCTTTCGTAAGTTGTCCCATGGATATGTTAATTTTGTAGTGTCTTCGAGTTCGTCTTGTGTAGGCACAGTTCGTACTCGGTGACGATAAACTAACGTCAAGAGCCACAAACTTCTCTGTTTCGTAATCATTCAAGAATTTATAGTAACAGATACAGGGAAAAGAATGCGAATGATAAACATTTCAGGCTGGAAAGACAAAAGAAAGTAACTAACTACAGTAATTTCATCCTAATTCGCGCTCAGATTGCGCACAAAATTGGACAATTTGGGTAGAGGAGATTATTATATATTATATTATTATATTATTATATACGATTATTATATGTATTTTTATAGTTAATAATCTATGTTAATAATCTCAAATAATCGTATCTCGTCTTCCCAAATTGTCCATTTTTGCGCAATCGTAGCGCGAATTAGGGAGGAATTACTGTATTTCGAGTGACATCGGAATGCAAGGAAGAACGTTTTATTTTACCAAAATGTAAAACATTGTGCAAAGACGCCAATTGACGCTTGCTTTCTCGGCTATACCTCGCGGCAATAATTTCGGGACTCGCTGTAGAAGCAGATTCTTTTCTTCTCGATTTTCGTGTCGAAAGTTATTTGTAAAACGGCCGCAGCTAGTTTTCCAAGGGAGAGCAGCAGAGGTTGGACAGAAGTAAGTGAACAATCCGTGCGAGAAGCGTCGATGTCGAGTATCTGGGCCGCAAAGCGACGGGTTCACATCGACGGTGGCCGACAAAGTAGGAAGAAAGGCCACGGTCGTCGTGTGTTCATCGTTGTCACGATCGCGGTACTTCAGCCGTGTACACCCCTTTAATCGTTCGTCAAGTGTGTGTGCATTCGGAATGTAATATATCCTGGCCGACACGTGCGGCTCACGTGCCACCAAGTGTTTGTTTCGGTTTGTATTGTCACCACGGATACGGCGCGGGTGCCACCGGGAGAGGTGTGCCCCGTCTTCGACGAAGGGAGAGGGACGCTTTCTCCCTTTCATAATTCCACGCTCGTTCGAGTAAATAACGTGCCGGCAGTTGACAATTAGGACGATGGGAAAGAGATTCATTAAACGGAACAGACTAATAGCGAATCGATCGGGGGAATACTGTGTACTCGCTGCTACGAGAGGGACGATTCACGCGAGCACGCCATCTTGGACCCTTGTGAATCGCTGTTCGCGCGAAGACGCACTGCCGCGCGGAAGTAATTTCGACGCTCCGCGGAATCTAGTCGATCATATTTGTCTATATGTAATGACAGATTCTCGCGATGACAAAATTTATTCTTCAATAAAAAGAGATTTGAGAATCTCGTCGAAGTAAATTCACGGTCGCACGTTCTCAATCGTTTGATCATACGACAGCGAATATGTTTTCGCTATTAATATAGTAAAATAATAATAAAATATAATATAATAATATAAATTAAATAATATAATATAGTAATATAAATAAAATAAAATAATATAATGATATATATAAGATAAGATAATATAATATAATAATATAAAATAATATTTACAATTTTTATGCGATATCGTGCACAAACAATCGTTTATCGCAGATGCAACAAATATAAATATATAAATATCAAGTTATAACTATTTTTATGTGAATATGTTAGGATGCTTGAAAGAAATTCATTACTTTTTGTCTGTGAACAAAAAAAGCTTTATTATTACAAGTTTTAAATATTAATCAAAAACAGAGTACCACCCTTCTTCTCTTAGAACGGTTTCTTCTTTTACGAAATTATTTTCCAAATCTACCTTTAAATTGACTACAATTTAAACTCAAGTGTAACAAAGTATGGATTTTTTCTCCGGACGCCTTATTAAATCTGGGAACGTTTGAAATAACAGTAATCGAGATGTTCATTCGAAATATTAATCTACACAGAAAATTAATACCTGTAATGCAATAATTAAATGCTTGATCCGTGACTTTTATCCATCTATTACATTAGAAACTCCTTCGGTCGTGGTTTTCATTTCATGTTTTCTGACATAACAGTTTCAAGAGAGCGTTTATTCATTTCGTTATCAATATTTGTTGCACCTGCGATAAACGATTGTTTGTGCACGATATCGCATAACAATTGTAAATTCCACGAAATTATGTAAAATATTCGCTGTCGTATGATCAAATGATTGAAAAAACACGATCGCAGAATTTATTTCGACTATCAAATCTTTTCATCGAAAAACGAATTCTGTCATTGCAAGAATCCGTCATTAGAAGGATAAATATGGAAAAATCGTTTTCGAATCGAGTGATGATTATTTCTCAAAAACGGGGTTGTCGCTAACAGATTACAATTATTTTATTTTTCATTTACTTAATGTAGAGAGTGATTTTCATAAAAATCGTAAGATGAAACAAACCTTTGATCCGGCGCTAATTATTTCTGCCATTCGTAACATAATGTTGTACACAATTGCAAATTTCACAGGAATCCAGTCAGTCTGAATATCAAAGATCAAACAAGCAAACAGCACACGAAGTCTCTCTGAAATACTACCTCACCTCGACCCTGAATCTAGCCGTTATCATTTGTTTTATCATCCACGATTTGTTCACTTGCCCGGAGGTTGACATAGTGCAACAATAGTCATCACTTTAATGCGACACTGTCGTCAACGTATCATGCGACACTCCATAAACTTCTTAGAAGTACAATATCGAAAAGTAGAGGTTTAGAAAATTAAATGTGTGCAACGCATACCAGCAACACGATTCACACTTCAGTCTCTTTGCCTCATAAATATAATTAAACGTGTTCTATAACCTCCTGATATATACCTTTTAAAACAATATTGCTTTGCTGAAACTGGTCT